AAAGATACCGAGTTGCTCGTCCGGATCACAGAAAACCCCAAGGATATTGCAAAACGGGTCGCACACTCTACGTGGAAAATCAGGGAGGACAAGAAATTTGGCGAGTGGCCCAACCAATCTCACATGAAGGCACTCTGCCGCCTCATGGAGAGTCCGAGGTTCGCAGCGGCAATCCTCATAGGACACTTTACTCCAGCTGAGCTGGCCCTCGCGCCGTCCGTCGAGGCTTTGGAAGATATGGAAAAGGCGTTGGCGCAGCTCGGAGACCGGGAGTTTCGCGAACGGTTGAAATTGGGCACCGACCAGCCCGAGGAGCACAACGTATGACCCCGCCATGCTCAGTCATTATTGATTTATACGCCTCTCTGCAGCTCTTTTCTCGAATTTCACCTAGTCACGACTAATCCTTTGATCAACAGCAGTTCCCGAACGTAGACGGTCGAACGAATGCGTATGCTACGGCGGCGGAAATACGTGGCCCGGCGAATTCCGTGATGGACGATATGCAGGTTTTGAGGGACGTGGAAGGTCGCAGGCAGCACCGAACACCCAGACTTCCAACATGGGCTAGCAAGGCTGTCGAGGAAGCCAGTTTCGGGGAGCAACGACCACGGCCGCGGAATCCTTTTCAGCTATCACCGTCGCCTGAGGGCTAACGGGAGACATCATGTTTGTTTCACCTGTTTGTTATTTTTTCTTGGAGGGCGTTTTCCACATCGCATTGAGGAACGGAGGATATTGGAGTTGCATGACGTTCATGATAACCTTTGCTAGAGGCCTAGAGGAGGGATGTCAGGCATCCGGAGAAACTGTCTGAAGGGAGGTGGCCTGAGGTTTGCATTAGCATCGGCGTTAGGGCCACAAAGACCCGGAGAGATGAATCAAGACGACGTGGGATCTCAGAAAGACCCCGAAATCCCTTGCCATGCTAGTCCCTGAGAGTTGTTTTGTACCATACGTTACACGTGACTAACGAGGCTTTGCGTGGTGCGTCGTTTGTAAAGTTGATATGCTGCGAGCGTGGGCTTTTGGGGAAGATTCGAAAAGACATATGACCTCGGCGGGCATTGGGGCATGGAGGGGCAACGGGAATGGTTTCGGGGAATGCAGCGTCACAGTGACTCCTCCAGGCCCCATCACGAAAATTACACGTTGGTACCGCGCCGGAGGTTGGTCATTTTGAGATATTCTGGACGGAGTATATAGGCCAGCTCGGGAAGCGCCGTAACCGGCGTCTTTCGTACGATGGTTGGGGTCCACCCAAGGTTGATTTCAGGAGGCTCGAAAATGAGTAAAGTGGATATTTTGAACATTTGTGATAGGATAATTCTCAAATTTAAGCCGTACACGGCGAAGGAGCAGACACCGGGGAGGGGGGCAAGAAGAAAGAGGAAAAAAAAAAAGGTACATGGTGAGTAAGAAAAACGTGCAGGTAAAAGTGATCTGAGGTCTGGTCCCTTTGGACAGGGGTTGGCTGGGGGCTCGGTACCGTCCAACGAGATGGCGGGCAGTTCCCCAGAAATTGGCTTTAGATAAATTTTGATTGGCTCGGTGGCGGGATTTTCTGGACCCTGCAGAAGCCGAGACACCGAAAATCGAATGCGCGCGAGTGTTAGGCTGGGCCACTCGCCCATGGATGTCCCCCGTGCAGCGGCACTAGCAGCGCTCTGCAGGCTGCAGCCCAGCCCACTAAAAGAGCACCTAGGATGATGGCAACCCACATTCGGAGCGTCCCTCAGTGGCCGCAGAGGCCGGTGGCTGCCACGGCTGCCCCGCCGTCGTTGGCCCCAGACGTGTGCAACACAACTGGACGCCAGTCAGCCAGTCAGCTCGTCCGAGGGCCAGCGTCAGCGTCCTCCCGTCCAATGTGCGTGTCCGCTGTCCTAAGGTAGCCTGTCCTCGGGTTCGTGGTGCGGTACCTACGGCACCGTACCTTACCTCCTGAGGTGGGCGTACCTTACCCTGCGCCCACCGCCGCCTTTTTGTGTCATGGCGACTCTTCACCGGACGCACTAATAAAGGACGGTCCGAGAATCTGGTCTCTTTTATTCCTCGCTTCTCCTCATCCGCCAATTTCGCACGTCTCCTCCTTTCCTACCAAATCCCGTCTTTGTCGATCAAAGTCGCCCCTTCCACTCTTCGCCAATTGACTTGTGTTCGGCTGCGCGCTGACACTCTTCTCTGGCAACTCTGACCCCGTTCGCCAACGACGCACTTGGTCGCCACACCGAAACAACCGTACCAAAATCTACTCCGTACCGCTATCCTCGACCGACGTTACACGAAGTTCCTCTTCAACTTGCCAATCGTCACCATGGAGGCTGCTCTGCGTCAATCTAAGGCCATGTGCCCCTTCTTGAAGAAGGCTTCGCCCGCTAAGCTTCGCGCGCTATCTACCTCGGCTCGTCCCCATGCCGTCCAGGCCCCTCAGACGGCCGTCGCCGTTTCCCCTTGCGGCGGCACCATGTCCAAGTTGCAGCTTCTTGCCCACCGCTGCCCCGTCATGGGCAAGGCTCTGACTGTCCAGTCGGCTCAGTATGGCCATGCTGCCAAGGCTGCGAACTCGTCTGTCGCCGGCATTCGCGCTTTGAGCACCAACTCAAAGTCCGGTCGTGCCAGCATCCATACCAGCCGCAGCAACGACGCCCGCGCCGTGGACACTCCTTTCGCTAACGGACATGACAAGAGTATGTGATATGTTTCCAAAACCCAATAGCATTCGAGCTAATATGTTCCAGCCCGGCTTCCCCCGAACATGGCTGCTCCCCACAACTCTGCGAACAACGTTGGCATGGGCAATTCGGATGCCTCGAAGGCCAAGTTTAATTACGAGGCCTATTACACGTCCGAACTGGAGAAAAAGCATAAGGACAAGTCGTACCGCTACTTCAACAACATCAACCGTCTGGCCAAGGAATTCCCCCGTGCCCATATGGCCGACAAGGAGGAGCGTGTGACTGTGTGGTGCGCCAATGACTATCTTGGAATGGGTCGTAACCCCCACGTCTTGAAGTCGATGCACGAGACCTTGGACGAGTACGGCGCCGGTGCTGGCGGCACGAGGAACATTTCGGGACACAACAAGCATGCCGTCGAGCTTGAGGGCACCATCGCGAAATTGCACGCAAAGGACGCAGCTCTCGTCTTCAGCTCATGCTATGTTGCCAACGACGCGACTTTGGCCACCCTGGGCAGCAAGATGCCTGATTGTGTCATTCTGTCCGACAGCTTAAACCATGCCTCCATGATCCAAGGTATCCGTCATTCCGGAACCAAGAAGATCGTCTTCAAGCACAACGATGTGGCGGATCTCGAGGCGAAGTTGGCTTCTCTCCCCTTGCATGTTCCCAAGATCATTGCATTCGAGTCGGTGTACAGCATGTGCGGCTCGATCGGCCCCATTGAGGCCATTTGCGACTTGGCGGACAAGTACGGCGCCATCACATTCCTCGACGAAGTGCACGCTGTCGGCATGTACGGACCTAATGGTGCAGGTGTCGCGGAGCACCTTGACTTTGAAGCACACCAGCAAGGACGCCCCAAGGGCAGTATCATGGATCGCATCGACATTATCACCGGCACTCTTGGCAAGGCTTATGGATGCGTTGGTGGATACATTGCCGGCAGTGCCAAGCTCGTCGACATGATCCGCTCCCTCGCCCCTGGATTCATCTTCACCACCTCCCTTCCCCCTGCGACAATGGCTGGCGCAAAGACCGCCATTGAGTACCAGATGGATTATGACGGTGACCGTCGTCTCCAGCAGCTTCACACCCGCGCGGTGAAGGAAGCCCTCGGCGACCGCGATATTCCCGTCATTCCCAACCCATCCCACATCATCCCGATCTTGGTTGGCAACGCCGAGCTTGCCAAGCAGGCATCGGACATGTTGCTCCAGGACTACCAGATCTACGTGCAGTCCATCAACTACCCTACCGTTCCGGTCGGGCAGGAGAGACTGCGTGTGACGCCCACTCCGGGCCACAAGAAGGAGTACCGCGACCAGCTTGTGCAAGCCATTGATGAGATCTGGACCAAGCTTGGCATTAAGCGCACCTCTGCTTGGGCTGCGGAGGGTGGCTTCATCGGTGTTGGGGAGGCCAATGCGGCCCCCGAGCAGCCCCTGTGGACCGACAGCCAGCTTGGCATCGAGCAAGCTGCGAAGGAGATTAAGGCTGCGGGCAACATCAACAGCGGCTTTGTCGAGGCCCTGTTGGAGCGTGAGGCCAAGACGGCTGGTCAGGCCGTGAGCTCTACTATCTGATTCCGTTCTCTGATTGGGATTTTGCCCAATGCGTTCAACGCTGATATCTACGGGGAGCTCAGCGGACCTTGACCACGTTCTTTGGAGCGATCAACGAGTTTTTGATGTTTTACCACGCCCCGTGACTGATTTTCTCTTTCGATTTGAGATTCTTGTCTACCAGCTACTGGTGACTAATCTCAGTGTTGGTCGCAACACCAATAGTTTACATCCAATATATAAAGTGTCACATATTGACATCTTTCATCAAATCAACTCTCAATGCGCTTCAGTGACATGCCCGTCCACGTATCCGTATCGATAGACTTCATCCGAAAGCGAGCTGCATCACAGCCCACTGACCCAAGCCACGATGAACCCGGCCACGGCAATTGTTGAAATCCGTTCAGCTGAGAATACGTACCGTGCTGAGTGTGCCGGGCTAGGAAACGGACTTTGGAGACTGCTTAGTCATCATAGGTCTTCTGTCCGCCGGAGTGCTCGCAACTCCGTCTCCAGCGGAGAGACGGAGCAAAATCGTGAGGACAAGGCACTCGGAATCCACCCCATTGGCCAGAGCTGCCCAGCCATGACTTACACGATTTCAGGAGAGCCGTAACGAAGGCTCAACCTAATGAAGGCTTACGACGCGAGTTTGTCCCTGTAAAGGAGCAGTGTTTCGTATCTAGTTTGCCTGCTTTCCTTTCCCATCTCGCCTAACTCAAGACTGGCTACCTTTGAAGTTGCGAATGTCATCATGGAGATGCAAATGGACGCTGAATCAAAGACCAAGGGACCTCGAGCCTGCACTACATGTGCTAAGGCCAAATCGCGGTGTATACCAGGACCGGACGGGAGTAACAAGTGCGAAAGGTGAGTCTTCCGAACGTGGTTCCATCTCCGGGACGGCTTTTGACATTCTCATCAGGTGCCATCGGCTTAGGAAGCCCTGCGGTTCCCAGACCCCTGCGCCACCTAGAGCGAAGAAGGACCCTAAACCAACCAAGGTTGCGGAACTGGAGAAGAGACTCAACGAGTTAACCACGCAGTTGGGCACTACTCAGGGCGGGACTCCCGCAGTATCCGCCGGAGCCATCACTGCAGGAGAGAACGGGAACGGGAACGGAAGCGGGAGCGGGAGCGGGGGCGGAGTTATCGATACCAACACTAGTCCTCTGCCCATCACCAACAGCAGCAAGCCGGTATCTGCCCGGATTCCCATCAACTGCGACCACCTTTTCCCGCCAGAAGACGCACCGGCAGATGGTGGCTCTGACACTTCACCGGCTCCGAGCGCCTCGACTCTCGATGAACACCACTCCGGGAGCAGTCACGGCCAGCCGGAGCGGGTTGAGCCTCCTTGGCCGCTTAACAACGAGTTGAACATCATGCTGCAGACTTTCCGAGATGACTTTCAGCCTTTGTATCCGTTCGTCATCGTACCGCCTCATATGAGCCCGGCGCAGCTTGCGGCCGAGAGGCCGTACCTGTGGAAGGGCATCATGATGACTGCATCCCACCTTGACGCTACTCGGCAGGTGACTCTTGGCAACGAGCTACTTGGAGATATTGTACAGGCAGCGTTCACAAAGCCGAAGAAGAGTTTGGATGTTCTCCAGGGTTTGCAGCTGCTTGTTTCTTGGTACGAAGGAGACATTGATACTTCGGTGGACGACGACGGCTGACTTGGCTCCAGGTATCATTACAACATCAATAGCTTCCAGCTGACGAATCTGCTTTTCCTCGCGAGGTCCATGTGTATAAGCTTGGGGTTCAAGGACAATCCCATCTCGGTCAAGGAGAAAAACACCCAAATCTGCATCGACGTAAAAGATACCGATGCCCCTGCAGTCATGACGAAGGAGCAGATGTCAACTCGGTTGGAGCTAATGAGGGCTTTTGCCGGTTGCTACTACCTCAACACGCTGTAAGTAGCATTCTGCCAATGAGACCCGCTGCGATGCTGATTATGAGAAAGGGTCTTCACGACAAACAAGCGCCCGGACGCCTTCATGAACACTACATATCTTGAGTCTTGCTGTAGGCAAATTCAAGATAATGTGGAGTACCCCAGCGATGAGCTTCTTGTACAGCTCTTCAAGATCCAACAGCTGGCTCAAACCATCTCCATGACACTGGGAGTGGGAGCGGAGAGCACGAGCTTCCAGTCGCTCCAGTTGCCCCTCACCATGGTGGTCCAGTCTTTCCAGCAGCAGCTTGACATCTTCAAGACCTCGATTCCAGACCACTTGAAGGGAAATGGTACGTATTCCGGCTTGCCTGTCATCTGAAGCATCTTCTCACAATTTTTTTTAGCTGGTCTCCTCACGCACGTGAGCATTGCGGAAATCCTCCTCTACGAAATTGGCATTCCGGAAGGCGAAGGTTCGGCGCGCTACATATCTCTCACGGAGCGCCTGGAGCTTCTGTGGGGATGCTGCAACGCAGTCAAGACATTCCTGGAGCGACGCTTCCATAGGGAAAACAATATCTCAATCATCCAACCGCGCTTCACGTGCCTCAGCTCCTCCGACTTCCTCTACGTCTTCATCGTCTCCCTGAAGCTCATGACGTTGGAAGTGCCGGGCTGGGATATCGCCTTCATCCAAAAACACATTGACTTAGCTAGCGTTGTTGAGGGCCAAGTAGCGCATTTGGATATTTTCACCGCGCGGAGGGCCAGGCGGCCAAGTGCGGCGGTCGCAGCAGCTACAACTCCGGTCGGCGCGGCCGAGATCCCCGGTCCAAAGATTGTCGACCCTTTCTTGCGTCTGACCGAGATGCTGCGGTACTTCAAAGAGCTCGTTAAGGGGGAGGTGTGCAAGCTCAAGACCCAGCCTGCCATCCAGGAACCCATCCAGTTGCCGGCCAACCTGTCTGATGGCACTCAGGCCATGATCAGGGATCTGGATGCGACGTTCTGGAATGGAATGCTCGGGGAAGATCCTGGAACCTGGGATGTCGGGAATATGTTCTCTTCTATGGACTGGACTGCGACTTGAGAAGGCTGTACAATTACGCATGCAGCAGGGGCGGGAGCAGGATACACGCCTGATCCTGGAATATCGACCATCTCTCGGACGACTACAAAGACAGCAGGACCCCATATGAGTGGATGAACTCCCGACTAAGTGACGAAACTAATGATGGAATGAGTGTACGAATGCACAACACTATCCTTGTGGAAACTACTCCTAGTCATTGTTTTCAGGAGGCGCAAAAACAGGCAATGTATAATAAGACCCCTCTGATAGGATTGGGAAAATTAGACAGTGACAATTGGACTTTAACCCATGAAAAACATGGCAAGGGCATTTGATTCAGAACTCTCGAAGCCGGTGCACCAGTCCGGCGGCCGGGCCGATAATTCGCACTTGGCCGGAGGCCGAATCGGAGGGGCCTGAACGACCGTCCGGGTCGCAATGTACTTTTGACTACAACATGAAAAAGTTTCCAGAAGGGCCACAGACTCGATTTCAGGCCAACCGTAGTGTTGCTTATGAGGCATCTCAAGTTAATGGGACTTTGACTGAAAAGAGACTGCAATAATAATTGTCGCTAGTTGCCGAAGCTCCATCAATCACGGCTGCCGAGTATCCAAAATTCCGCAAAACTCAGAAAGTTGATGTCATCCACTCTGCAGCAAGCCACATCCCGCGCCTCGGAGTCACTCTTGGCCGATTATATCCGCATTTACACGAGCGCGAAAAAAACGGCGGACCGTTGATTCAGTTACACGCACGGCCGGCTGTTTTTCTCTTCTCAACACTTACATCCTTTCCTTTCAGGTTGAAGAAAAATACCGCAACCATGCCCAAGCCGCAGGTAGACTACGCCCTCTACCTCGTCACCGACTCCACCCCCGCCATCCTCGGCGACCGCGACCTGGGCTCCGTCGTCGCGGCCGCCGTGAAGGGCGGCGTCACCTGCGTGCAGTACCGGAACAAGACCAAGGACACTGGTGACCTGGTCGCCGAGGCCAAGAAGCTGCACGAAGTCACGCGCGCGCATGGCGTGCCTCTGCTCATCAACGATCGGGTTGACGTCGCCCTGGCGGTGGGCTGCGAAGGCGTGCATATTGGGCAGGATGACATGGGTGAGCTACGCAATCCCTTCTACTCATGTTATGATGTGTTGAATGAGAATGTGCATGAGACTGTGAGGCTAATATGTGAGCAGACCTGACCACTGCGAGAAAACTCCTGGGCCCGGATGCTATCATCGGCGTGACAGCGAGCACTATCGATGAAGCCCTCAAAGCATGCGAGGGCGGCGCGGACTACCTGGGCATTGGAACCGTCTTTGCAACATCAACGTAAAATGTCCCCTCCTTCATATCCTATCTCGCCTGAGACTCACACCGAATAGTAAAGAAAACACAAAACACATCATCGGCACCGCAGGCCTGCGTGATATCCTCGCCGCAATCGACTCCGCAGGTCACTTCCCCGCCGTCAAGACGGTCTGCATCGGCGGCATCAAGTCGACCAACATCCAGCGCGTACTTTACCAGTCCGCAACCACCGCGGGCCGGGCCATCGATGGTGTTGCCGTCGTGAGCGCCATCGTCAGGGCCGAAGACCCTGAAGCGGAGTCGCGGAGGTTGCTCGAGCTCGTGAGGTCCAGTCCCTCGTACCAACAGGTTGTCAAGACGGGCACAGGCGTGAGCGATGTGAAGCAGCTTGTCGAGCTTGTTCCTGAGGTCGTCAAGGCTGTTGCGCAGGCGTCACCTCTTTCGCATAACATGACAAACCTGGTGAGTAGTCTTCCCCCTCCACAATGCTGCGTGTTGATGTTGGCTGACAAGAGAGGCAAGGTGGTCCAAAACTTCGCGGCAAACGTGGCCCTCGCCGTCGGCGCCTCTCCCATCATGGCCAACTACGGCGAGGAAGCCCCTGACCTGGCTCGCCTAGGCGGCGCACTGGTGATCAACATGGGCACCGTCACCCCCGATGGCTTGGCAAACTACGTCAAGGCCCTGGCTGCGTACAACGCGGCCAAGAGACCCGTGGTCTTTGACCCCGTTGGCGCCGGCGCAACAGCCATCCGGAGGTCGGCCGTCAAGACCATCCTCTCCGGCGGGTACCTGGACCTCATCAAAGGAAACGAGGGCGAGATCGCGACAGTGTACGGACAGTCTCTGGAGCAGCAAAAGGGCGTCGATTCCTCCTCGACGCTCTCCCACGAACAAAAGGCCAAGCTCGTCAAGGATCTGGCTTCGAGGGAAAGGAACGTGGTGTTGATGACGGGCAAGACCGACTACGTCTCGGATGGCGTGCGGACGTTTGCGGTCGAGAACGGGCATGAGCTGCTCGGACAGATTACCGGTACCGGCTGCGTGTTGGGCACGACCATTTCCGCGATGCTGGCGGCCAAGTCTGACGACAAGCTTCTTGCCGTGGTTGCTGGGCTGTTGCACTTCGAGATCGCGGCCGAGCACGCTGCCGTCAGGGGCGATGTGCAAGGCCCTGGCACTTTTGTGCCGGCTTTCATTGACGAGCTTGCGAGGATACGGAACCAAACCGTCGGGGGTGACTTGAAATGGTTGTCAGGGGCAAAGGTCGAGGCCGTCGAGGTCCAATGAGCCAAATATGAAGTTGAACCATAAAAGTGCAAAACAAGAAACGCAAACTCATTTATAGACATTCTAGATAACAACTGTGTCGGTATAACTTCGTGCGTCTGTGTCTCGTAAACTTCGTCTCTTAGATCTTGGGCACCAGAGCTTGCAGAACCTCCTTCGTATCTTTGCCCGTCTCCTTGACGAGCCCCACGATGCCCTTGAACTCGGGCACCGCGGCATCGCCCATGAGCTCATACATGATGCTCTCGCTCGTCGTTACCGTGACGCCCTCGTGCCTCAACCTCGCCAGGGCGATGGGCACCTCCTCGCGGTTGCAGCTGCTCACGCCGTCCGCGAGCACGTATGGCTTGTGCCCCGCCGCCAGGAGGTCCAGCGCGGTCTGCGTGACGCAAATGTGTGACTCGATTCCGACGATGATGACCTGCGCCGGCTCCGCGCTGTCGAACTGCCGGCTGATCTCGGGCACCCACATGCTGAACTTGGTCTTGTCCACGGGGGCCCGGATGAGGTCCGACTCCCGGAGGAGGGACGCGAGTTCTGGTACGGTATCGCCGAGGCGTGCGCGGTTTTGCGTCGTTGTGTAGACGGGGATCTTGAGGGTCTCGGCGGCGCGGAGGAGCTTGCTCGTTGTCTTGACTACCTTCTCGAACTCGAAGATGGCATTGCGGAACTTGTCTTGGAGGTCGCAGACACTGTCTCAGGGCAATTGGGTTAGCAAAACAGAGACTGCACAGCGCTGGCCCTGAGTTCTGACACATAAAATTGCGAAAGGGTAACACACAAAATGACCGGCCTTTGAAGGCGCCTCGGCGTGGGATCGGACATTGTCGCAGTCGTCAGGAAGCGGGGTCGCAAGGTGAGTTGTTGTGGTCGAGGGCGGCGCAATTGGGAAAATATTGAGAGTGTGCGGAGGGTTCGCGCTGTTGTCATGTCCCAGACGAGGTAATATTGAACCTGATGTGACTCTGGATCAGTCGATGAACCGGTCTCGGCTCCGACGACCTTGGTGGTTACCCAGTCCACATGTCGAGGGGGACCGCGGGGCAACGGATCGTGCGGAGGGTGGGGTAAATGGCGGCGGTACCTAGTTACCTCACGCTTACCTTCAACGGCCCCGGTCTGAGTGACCGATGCTAGGATACCCGGTACATCGCTTTGCAGTCTCGCGCCCACCATAAGATTTGTACCTCTGCGTTATAAGTAGTAGCGGTGGTGATTTCCTTTGATCTCGTTGGAAGACCACTGCGCCGTTGCAGAGCGGAACATTGTACAATATCCGCACTGATGACATACGCCTACATACAACATCTGCGGATGAAGCTATCAGGGGCACTGCTGCAGGCGCCACTGATGTGCTGTCGATCATTGCACTTTGTCACGCTGCCTGCCTATGTTCATGTCGACGATTTTGTATTTTATTTCCGCTGTGTCATCTCCTCTAGCCCTTGTGCTACATGGATATTCACATTGGACCTGGTACACTGTCATGGCTACCAGTCGGCCCATCTCGCGCGATATGAAGCATCCCGCCTCTGCGTGTTGGAGGGGGCAATTCCGTCAAGCAAATAAAAAGAAGATTAATGCGCTTGCCTTTCAGGCCATCTCCGTATCAATTGCCGCCGGGGCCTTTGCTTCTCCTTCCGCCTACTCAGCAGTGGCCGTAGGCTTCACCTTGGAGGCTGGGTTCATCCACGAAAAGGCAGATGCTCCTCCAATCGGGTTGGCCGACCGCGGCAGCGGCGGCGCCGCGTTTTTGGCTTCACGTTGAGCCTTCAATTCTACCGTGCTGCTGACCGTTCGCTTCGGCTCCCAACGAATCGTTCCCGCGGGGGTACTCTCCGAAACAGTACTCGCCTGGCTTTTCCGTCGATGTTCGCCGCTGGTTCTGGGGGCGGGCGCCGGCTCATAGGCGGCTCCGGTTCGGGCAGATGATGACGACCCCGATTTCAGGGGCTTCAGTACCTTCATATTCCGACTACCGCGCCCGGCTGGCTGATAACCACTCAGCGGTCCATTGGCGTCCCGCTGTCCGTTCTCAGAGCCGTTTGCCGACGTGCCTTGCCGCCATGATCCCCAGATGCCGCTGGCAGAGTCGCGCCGATTGCCGTCTGTGCTAGCAGAGCCGTTCTGCGTTCCCACGGTCTCCTTAGCCCCGGACTCAGACCCACTGGCAGCGTCTTTGCCGAGTCTCTCACTCTCCCCGCCACTTTCAGACAGGTTGCTTGCTCCAATCGACTTGTTGGGTACAGAGTGATTTTCCATAGGGGAGATAAGTCCAAGAGAATCTCCGTCGTCCTGCGGCATGCTAGACACGCTGTTCTCCATTCCCTCATGTGTCGAAGCTGCACGAGACCGCGGCTCCCCAGGAACGAATTGCGCTGCGTTGGCATTGAGTCGAGGCTTCTCCGGAACAAAGTTCATCGTGCTGATGTACTTGAACACAGACTCATCTTCCGGGCGCACAAAAGGAACTGAGAGCTTCTCGCGCTCACTCCCGTATAGACACATGCGGTTCTGAGACAAGAGTATATCGGCTTGATGTGCTCTCAGGGTGTCGCTGCCAATGAAGATTTGAACACCTCGTTTCGGATCCGCTCCTTCAGCCTGCTCCATGCCCAAGACCTCGAAGGTTGTCAGAATGCTAGGAATCTGATGACCGGGACTCGATGACCGGCTACTTCTCTCCGAGACGGTGGCTTCGACCAAATACACGGGTAGCCGTATCTTGAACGTTCCGTCCACATCGCGTTGAACTTCTTCCAGGAGGTCGAGTTCCCTAACGATCGAGTAGTCTAGCACAGACTTTTGCGACCCGGTACATAGGTCGGCGTAAAGTATCGTGTTGTGTGCAAATTGAGTCGTAAGCCAGCACCGGATGATGGTGGGAACTGAGCCGAGGATAAACAAGCCTGGGGGAGGCTCAGGCATTTCTAGGGGAGAGTCGTCTTCGTGGCTGCTGACCATGAAGTTGGTATCCAGACCCAGGCTGCTTGCGCGACCAGAAGCGACCGAGTGGAAAGAGTGTACGGAATGGCCTGCCGAGCTGTGCCGGCCGTCCGACTTGTGGGAGAGGGAGCGCTCCATCATCATCCCGCTGCTTGGGCGGGGAGGACCGAACTCCCCAGAATGACGATTGCTCTGGCTGGTCCAGTCGGCCCCTCGCAAGGCACTCTCATCGAAGCGAACACTATTAGCTCGGGATGCAGCGCCTCTTCGAGCAGGTTCCTCTTCGGCAGGTCCAAGATGCAGAGAGCTCAGCAGGTGCTGGCCCTGCTCGTCAAAGTCGTCGAACATGTCGTTGGGGGATATATGGGTCGGGCCTAGTAGATTAGAGTCAGCAAATGAACATTCCCACTGGACCAGTACGTAGACCAACCTTGCTGAGGTGTTCCAGCTAAGACGCCAGGAAACGGATGCTGCTGCCAGACTGATTTGAGGCTGGCATCTTGGTCCTGGCGTCGCTCAAGTCGTGCAAGTCTCTCGCCCTGATTATTTTGAACCAGTTGGATTTGCTTCAAATCCATCTGGATGTTGAAGAGGTCGTCTCGGGTGATTGGGAACCGATGATCCATGCCCGGAAATGGTTCCAGCGATTTGAAGTTGTGCAGTCTAGGTCAGGCAGTCCAGGTACACGGGGTATATGAGGGCAGGAATAGGAGCGAGGGACAACGAGCGAGCGTGATGGGATCAAGTTGTGGCAGAAAGACGCGTGAATGAGGGTATCGACACAACAGGGAGAACTGAGATCATCCGGATGGGAGAATGCCCATGGACTGACTGCGCAGGAGGTACAGGCGATTCTCGAATGAAGGGCTCGAGGGAAGACGGTGGGCTCTTCCGACCTCGATCCCTACAGTATCAGTTCACGAGGTCCTCCTCCCCCACCACATCGCACAGCGAGACCAAAGAGGTCGTCAACGGCGGCGGCAGCAGGCGCGTCAGCGAGTCCTTGTCGAATTGATTTCAGCGTCTGTCCACAATCCAGTCGGTCTGGGCGACTGCGGCAGCTAAAGCGCGATGGCGGCAGTATTGCGAGGTTGCACAACGATCACCGGCGACGGACTTGCCCGTTAGGTGGGCAGCTTTAGGCAGGTTTGCGTGTGAGCGTCGGCAAGATTTCGACACGAGTCGCTACTGAAAAGGACAGAAGTTTGCGAGACCCGACGTGCGTTCGTGAGTGCGAAATCGGGAGGAGAGAAACAAGTTGTAGTAGAAGGCGCGCTGAACAAAGCGTAGTCGTCACAAGGAGGCCCAGAAGGGTGGGATTGCTAAGGATCGAGCGGCGGTCGTGGATTCTTCGGGAGAGATGCTGTTGAAGAGGACGAGTTTTGTCCAACTGAGGTCGAAGGGAACAGTATTCGAGGTTACGTATGGGAGTATTCGTGTCTGGTACTCGGGAGTTTGCTTTGGAAAGAAGCGGAGAGAAAAGGGCGTGAAGGAGATGGGCAGACAAACAATGAAGTCTGGTGGGAGGTTAGTTGATCTGGGAGTCGGGACTGGATTAGTGAAGTGGACAGGACGAGTCGGGCCAGGACAGAGGACAGGAACCAAGCACCACAATGTAAGGTAAGTAGGTAGGTGGTGAGGTGAAGGGCAGGCGGCGGGAGTGGATGGATAGGCCAGTCGGCGTATTGAGGTAACGTCGAAGTACCACTGTATCGAATGGAGTCGAAGTGCATGCACAATTCAGGTTGCTCTGGAGCCAGCGGCATCTCTCCACAGTGTTGTGTGGCTGGGAATTATCGAAGCGACACGGGTAAACTAGTACTATGCACTGGCAGCACGGCGTTAAAGCCGGGCACCAGCAGTACTTGAGGGATACCTTGGCGGGGCAGCATGTCTGGTACGGTGTAGCCTGCCCCCCGTCATGTCAATTGCAGTGGAGGAACACCCGTGGAGCTGCGAGGCCAAGTCGTCAGGTCCAGTCAGTTGCCCTCCACCAGCTGGAACTTGCACCTCAGGTTCCATTGTAACCTACCTAGGTACCTTACCTTAGGTACCTTACCTGAACAAACGGGCGAGCCTGTCCGGGCAGGAGCCACCAGTGATTTGCCGCGCTGGGAGGTGTGACGCTGTAGGAGGGGCTGATTGGGGCGGGGGGTTCGTGTTCTGCGCAGGGCAGGGGACGTGCTGAAGACTCCAGAGTGTCTGCCTGCCCGTGCTGCTGCGTGCTGGATGGAAAGTGGAAGCATCATTTCGCAACAGCACAGCAAACTTGACTTTCACTACGCTGCACCTCAGACAGACAAACTCTAAAGCCGCCGATGCTGAGATGCCAATGCCTCCCATCCTGCACACGCCCTTCTTACCTTCCTTCTCCTGCCTTACCTTTCAAATCAAGGTACTTACCTACCCAGGCACATAACTATGGCAAAAGGTAAGCAATCCCCCTCGATCGCTGCACTTCTTCCAAACCCGTCCATCAAGTCGCAAGGTGTGGTGGATATTCAAGACGGCGGTGCAAGCTCAACCCCCGCTGTGAATGACGACGAGACTCATGCCTTCTCGCTCATCTGCCAGCCCCCTAAATCTAAATCTGATGTCCATCAATGATGCTTGAATATCGTTCACACTCGCTCACCAATGTGTTGCACAATGCTATGCTGCGGCACAGATGCATCGATTTTGTTGCCACCGGGCCGCTTGGCAACACAAGATCACGATACATAGCATTCATCATCACCAGCCAAGTTGTCACTCGTTCGTTTTCATGTACATCGCCGTCTAAAATAGATTCGATTTCAAGGAAGGGTCTAGGACTGTTTAGTCTTCCATGTCCGCCCTCCGATTTGACATTGCCATGCAGAACACACGGTTAGCTCCCG